GCGCCGCTGCGGCTCTTCTCCTCTGGGCTTGCTGCCACCGCGACCTTTTTGCGGTGCATTTCCCTCCCCGGCCGCCGCTGCGGCTCTTCACCTCTGGCATTGCTGCCACCGCGACCTTTTTGCGGTGCATTTCCCTCCCCTGCCGCCGCTGCGGCTCTTCTCCTCTGGCATTGCTGCCACCGCGGCTTTTTCCTTTCCTCTCATCGCTACCGCAAATTGCTGTTCTTGCGGTGCATTTCCCTCCCCTGCCGCCGCTGCGGCTCTTCATCTCTGGCATTGCTGCCACCGCGGCTTTTTCCTCTCATCACCCTTCTGCTTTCAAACCTACCATGCACAAAAGAAAGATGAAAAGGGAGACATCCTTGCTCAAACCACGACATTCGTTGCAAACGGAAGGACTAGTTCAAAGCAAGAAAATAAGGGAGTCCAAAGATATGGAGGATCGGGTCGAGAAATATGGTTGTCATGGTGGAAGTTGTCCGTTGGAGATATGTTTGGTTGGAAGAGGTTGGCAGATGTTGATCCAGTTGGTGGACAGTTGGTGGACAGTTGGTGGTGACCGGCCGGTTTTATTGTCGTCTGGCCAGCAGCTGCAGCCAGTTATATTGCCTAAATGGGCTACGCTATGCAGCTATCAGCCAGCAGCCAACAACCAGCATCAGCGAGTGTGCGCGTGTCACGGCTGTTGCCGCGCGTGTACAGTCTGTCGTGTTTTCGTTTGTGGTGCCCACAGCCCTGGTTGTGCACAATTGATTTTCATTTGTTTGGGGATTACCTAATTAAGGGGAGGCTACACCTTATTAAGTAATAGATGAATAAATAAAGCTGAACCATGATATCTATTTCCGCTTTATTTATTTACTTATTTATTTACTCTTTTTTAAATATCTTATTATAGACTAGTAATGCGCCTCAGCCTAATGAGCTAAGGCGTGCATTAGGGTGCCGGGGTTGTAGAGGTTATGGGTTTTCCCAGGCCTTTGCACCTCCTGTCACCGTATTTTTACTTTTTTCATTATGTAGTCAGCAGCAGCAGCAGCAGCAGCAGCCGGCAGATCAGCAAGCAGCTGCAGCAGTGGCCATGGCCCGGGCCCTTTATCGCCAGGGTTTGCGGCAGCTTCCCTGGTGCCAGGACCCGAATGCAGGGTCGACTGGCTGCCGGGACTCGGGGCGTACGAGTCGTCCGGCCTGCCGGCACCCGCACGCAGGGGCCGGCCGTACTTTTATAACGCCCGTCTCAGGTGGGTGGATGGGTGGGTGGGCGACGTGGGTGTGGGTGTGGTGCGTACTTCGTGATTTGGGTTCAACTAGTGGTCGTGGAAAAAGGCCGCAGGGCCGCAGCGCACGTGTCGCAACGAGGCCTTGTGACTTTTGGGCAAAATAATGACATTTGGTGTTTTACCCCCCTCCCCCCCGTGTATGCTGCCCCCTTACCTATCCCCTCTGGCCGTTTCCCCCTTTATCACGCACCTCCTCTTCAGGTGCGGCTGGGGCATCAACCTGTGCGCCCCAGTGGCACCGAGCGGGCGTTGCTGATGATGGGCCCGGCTGAGGTGGGTGCGGATGGGCTTGGGGTTTTGGTGCATGGGGTGTGCGTCGTGGGGACCAGCAGCGGTACCCTTGCTTGCAACTGTCACCTAATCATGTGTGTGTTAGTTGTGTCGTACTGCTAACCATATTTTGACTTCCCGCGCCCTTCCCCCGCCTTGTCCCTTTTCCTTCAGGTGCACTGCTGGGTGCAATTCTTCCGCACCCAGCTGCACCCAGCCGGGTGCCGCCGCTGCTGGCCAGGTGGCTAGCGGCGGCGGCGGCGGCGGCGGCGGCATATAGCCGCAACTATCAACTGCTGTAAAGGCCATCGGCATCATGATCATCATCATCATCATCATCATCGTCATCATTATAATCATGGTCATCATCATCAGTTGCCGCCATTCTTGTTGGCTTGATAACTTGTTGGCTGCATGCAGCGCCAACTACGAGCAATGACCGAACGAATGGTGTCGTACAGTAAACGCCATATCGGCCGTATAACGGTTAATAATAAAAATATCAATAAGTGGCGAATACAGCAGTTCTGTAAACGATCGAGTGGTCAACGTTAATAATGTCCAACGGTTTCGGTTGGACGGTCAAATGGAATCAATGCAGCACGAGGACTTGCGCAACTGAACTTCCAGTAATGGGCCCATGCAAAATGATCTGGGAGGTACCTGGGCGGATGCTGTCGGGGCCTGGGGTGGCCGGGCGCAGTGCGGTTTGGGGTTTTGCCTAGCACAATGCGACTTGGGGGCATGGCCTAGCACAATGCGACTTGGGGGCATG